AACACTTGTTATTATTACTTGTCTTGTTGATGACAGCCATTCTAACCAGTATGAGGTGGTATTTCATTGTGATTTTGATGTGCATTTCCTTAATAACTAGTGAAGTTGAGCATCTTCTCATATGTTTGCTAGCCATCTGTATGTCTTGAGACAAGTGTCTGTTTGGGTACTCTGCTCATTTTTTAATTGGATTGTTTGTTGTTGTTGTTGTTGTTGTTGTTGAGTTGTATGAGTTCTTTGTATATTTTTGGATATTAGCCCATTATCAGAGGTGCTGGTTACAATTTGTCTTGTTCTTTTGCTGTGCAGAAACTTTTTAGTTTGACATAGTCCCATTCATTTAGTTTTGCTTTTACTTCCCTTGCCTCTTGAAATCTAAGGTCCAGGAGTTTGGTACCTATGTTTTCTTCTATGCTATTTATTGTTTCTGGTCTTATATTTAGGTGTTTGAATCAATTTGAGTTAATTTTGGTGTGTGGTGACAGACAACAGTCTAGTTTCATTCTTTTGCATGTGGCTTTCCAATTTTCACAGCAGCATTTATTGAAGGTTTTCTTTTCTCTATTGTATGTTTTTGTTTGTTGAAAATTATTTGCCCATATATACAGGGGTTTGTTTCTGGACTCTCATTTCTGTTCCATTGGTCTGTGTGTCTGTTTTTCTGCCAATATCATGCTGTTTTCCTGAGTATGCTGGCTCTTAATTTCCTTCAGTTCAACATAATCCACGTGCCAAAGTGGCACGTTAGGGTGATGTATTCTGCTCCCCCTCAATATACAGGATTAAGAAAACTCTGAGGCTGAGGAAAGAGAAAAAAGTGTGGTTTTTAAGGGAAGAAAGTGAACCACAAAGTGGGAAAAGGAAAAAGAGTGGTTGTGAAAGGAATTAGGTTAATCGTTGCCAGATTATAAGGGGTCTTGAATGCCAGGGCCAAGTAATTTCATTATGTCATGAACCAAAGAAGAGTTTTCAAAGTTTTGTAAACAAATGATTCAAATATGAGTCTCAAGATGCAACAAGAAAGATGGACCAGAAGGAAGAGAGAGAACGATTCAAGAGCTTTTCATATAGAACAGTCATATAAATAGGGCAAACTAATGCCCAATATTTAATGTCTCGAATAGGGACCACAGTTTCGGGAAAGAAATAGGAAAAATGGGATTCCAAGATATAAAAGGTATCACCATTTCCCCCCATCAGAACTGGATAGATACTCCAAAATGGCTAGAGCCAGGAATTTAAGATGAGTTTCTATGAACTATAATTGATATATTTGCACATTAGTTTAACTTTTAAACTCCTTTTTAAAAATAATTTTACATTTTCATTTACAGTTGGCATACAATCTTATATTACTTTCAGGTGTACAACACAGTAATTAGACATATATATAACATACAAAGTGATCACCCCTATAAGTCTAGTACCCATCTGAAACCATACATAGTTATTATAATATTATTGACTACATTCTTCCTTCCATTATTTATATCTCTTTTGCCTGGTATAAGTATTGCTACACCAGCTTTTTTTTCCCATTTCCATTTTATATCTTTTTCTATCCCTTTATTTACAGTCTGTGTGTCTTTTGATCTGAAGTGAGTTTCTTGCAGGCAGGATAAGTAAGGGTCTTCTTTTCTTATCCATCCAGCCACACTATTTCTTTTGATTAGATAATTTAATTCATTTACATTTAAAGTAAATATTGATAGATATGTAGTTATTGTTAACATATTATTTATAACTTTGACCCTCCTTCTCCCCCCAGCTCCCTTTTCTCATCTTCCTCCTTCTCCTTCTTCTTCAAAAAGTCCCTTTAACATTTCTCGTAATACTTGTTTAGTGGTGAAACTCCTTTAGCTTTTTCTTGTCTGTGAAGCTCTTTATCTCTCCTTCAATTCTAATA